TGCAAGTAAGCATTTGGCATATAACTGGCACTTAATAAATGTTCCCCATCTTCTCTTTCATAATGGTACATATTTTCTGCTGATAATTCTAACGTCATTATTACCTCTAAAATTTATTTTTGAGGTATTTTCAAGAGTTAATGTTTGAATGAGTTCTACAGAGTGATAAATGTTACTAGCAAATACTAAGACTATATTTAGCATATTGCTACTAGACGCCTTAAATATCAAACCAATAAATCCATGTACAAATTTTGAACGTTTTCTTACCTTAGCTCTGTGTTCCACATTTGCTTTTCTATCAAGCAGAAGACTAACCACTTCAGTTCTTCCTTGGAAGCAGGCTAAGGTAAGGGCAGTGTTCCGATTGGTTTCTATCTGAGCATTTATGTCAGAGCCCATGTCTAATAGGAGTTTAACTGCAGCTGTGTGCCCATTCATAGCTGCTAACATCAAAGGAGAAATGCCCAATTTGCTACCAGTTCTGGGGGTAGAGGTATGAGGAGAACAAAACAGAAAATACACATTTTAAATGTCCCAGAAAAACTGGATGGCAATATATAATTCTGCTTCAGGATATATTTAAGAATCTTTATTTTGCAGGATTACTTAAAATACTATAATCATTTTTCTTAGCCCTAGTCTAATATTTCTTTGAGATAATACCAAAACTCCATTAGAAATATTTTACCACCCAGATCTAGAATACTTTCTGTATCTCATTCAACATAATGACTTGGGCTGAAAAATAATTATTAAATCATTAGACTATTAAGATGGACTTTCCATTTTAAAGCACATACTTGCTTAATAAAAACTCATAAGATGTGTTTACTTTTAGTACCATAAGAAATACAGTAATGGATAGTTTTTCAAGTTCTATGTCAACAGTTTTAAATATGTAAATAAAATTAATCTTAAAAATCTCTAGCAATTTACATTCTAAACTTGTAATGAAGGCATTTCCTTTTTAATATAAGATAATTGTTCTACAAATACCATTTTAACATAACACTTTTAAGGATCTTATAGATAGAGAATAAAACTTGCCTAGAATTAATTTCGGCTCCTGCATTTAGTAATATTTTGATAATGTTCACATAGCCACCAGAAGCAGCCAGGCTTAGAGGTGTGTAATCAGAAACATTCCTGTGTTCTTTATTTGCTCCTCGAGCTAACAATAGCTCCACCACCTGGCGGGGGGGAAGAGAAAGGGGAAAGGAAGGAAGAAATGGATTTTTTTTCTTACATTGAGACAATTTGCAAGGTACATATTTTTTTTTAACTTTTTTTTTTAAATTTCAGAGAGAGAAAAAGAGAGGGAGAGAGGGATAGAAACATCAATGATGAGAGAGAATAACTGATTGGCTGCCTCCTGTACGCCCCCCACTGGGGATGGATTCTGAAACTTGGGCATTTTAATTTCTTTTTTGTTCTGGTCTATTGTATAACAAAAGAAGGAAAAAATCCTTCTTTCATTTTTTGCACAAACACAGTCTCAACTGATAGCAAGAAATCTTAGAAGCCAAAAAGAGACAGCTTTTCAAGCAAAAAATCCACTTTGGAATCTGTTGAAACAGCAGTGTATTCATGAAATCTGGATCTTATGTGTTGTTGTACAATACTATTTTGGAAATAGTATTTCTGTGTTATTCTACCAAACAGTGGTAAAATAGAACACAATTTTTTCATTTAAACATGTGAATGCCTTTAAAATACTTTTTTTTAACTTACTGTCAAGTTTTTTTGTTAAAAAAAAAACTTGGTATAAAGCTAACACATTTTTCCCTAACATGAAAATTTTCAAACATACAGAAAAGTTAAAAAATATACATATACTCACCACCTAGATTCTACAAATAATATTCTACTATACTTACTTTTTCATATTTCTTCATAATTTTTTGCATTTCATCACAAAGTAAATTACAGACATTTGCCATTTTCCTTACATACATCAGCAAGTGTATCATTATCTAGACTTTAATGTACTTGTTTTCAGGTTTTTTGGGTGAAATTTTATGTAAAATTTTTTCAGGTGAAACAATAAATGCTCAAAACTTAATTTACATTCACTGAATACTGACATTCATAAACATAATGTAATTTAAATTCCTGTTATTTACTCATGCCCTTTCCCAGGCAACCCCACCCACAGATTAATCTATTTTAGATCTTCATATACATGAAATCAGTGTTTGAGAGTCATTTGTATATACTGTGTAGCATTCCATTAAATCTACACTAATAAAAGAGAAACATGCAAATTGGTGTCACTCCGCTACACCCACCAGCCAATCAGAGCAACTATGCAAATTAACCCAACAAAGATGGCGTTTAATTTGCATATGCAGGCGCAGAGCAAAAACTGAAGGCTCCGGCTGGAGTGAAGACTGAAGACTGAAGAGGCTTGGTTTCTCCGCTGTGGCTGGACCAAAGGCCTGGGTCCCGGGTGCTGGAGGAAAACTGGTGCCAGCAGCCAGGAGAAGGAAGGCCTATTGCACGAATCTTCATGCAACAGGCTTCTAGTAATATATAATAAGCTACCTACTATCCCAATGATGAACAACTTTGCCATTTCTAGTTTTTGAGAATTTTGAATAAAGCTGCTTAAAGTGGTTGTATTACTTACACTCTTATCGATAATGAGTGAGTTCTGGTTGCTCCACACCCTTGGCAACATTTGGTATTGTCCGTCTTTATATTTTAGCCATTCTAGTGGCTGTGTGGTGGTATCTTAATTTGCATTCTCTGACAGCCAAAAATATTTAGCATTTAAATGCTTACTGGCCATTTATAAATCTTTTGTCCATTATGTCACTTACTGTACCAAACAAGTCTGACAACAGGTACTAGTATTTTCATCTTCCTTTTACAAATAAGACACAGAAGTTAAGGATTGTTTAAGATCATAACTCCTACCCTTGCTCTTATTATTAAATATTAAACTACTAGTATATCCTAAAATACTAACTGGAAAATAACAAATAAATGTTAATAAACAGACTGGCAAATACAGACTCAAATATGTGAAGATAAAAGATAGTATAAACCTCTTCCCATTAGTTCAAGATCAGAGTTAGGAATAGTGGAGACACTCGGAGAAGGCATGCTCCAGGGTTGTGATAAATCTAAATGTCAATCGATTGTCACCATACAATCATATAAGTTAAGGCATAAATTTACTAAATAGATGGAGAGAAAAAATTACACTGGAGAAATTGTTACCTCCTGTCTTCCCCCAGAACAAGCCAAAGATAGTGGTGTGTCCTTGGTTCTTTCTGACTGAGCTTCAATGTCTGCACCATTGTCCAGCAATATTTCCACAACACCAACATGACCAGCTGTAGCAGCCAAGATGAGTGGAGTAAAACCTGGAGAAAAATAATGATCTCACTACATGCTAAGCAAAGGAACAATACTATTTTCCATCAAAATAGACCTGGAAGTAGTAGCATTTCTTTACAGAACACAAATATTCCAGAAGAAAAAAAATATTAACAAAAGTTGGCCATACCTTTCTTGTCTCGGTGCTCAATACTAGCTCCTCTCTCTAGCAATGTTTGTACCAGTTCCTCATGACCACCAGCACAGGCAAGTGTTAGTGCTGTGTCATGATTACTTTCAGTCTGTAAAAAATTAATTTTATGATTAGCTTATTATATAATTTTAAAATGTTAACATCAATTCCATAATATATACATGTACCAAATACACACAAGTAGATATGTATCCTCTACTATAGCAAACATTTGATAGTAAGTTGCCTTTTTTCCATTAGTGATCAACCTGTGACTTTTTTTAAAGGTTACAAATATTTGAACTTCATGGGCAATTCTTGAAGCAAACATGAAGAAAAGCAGCATGATTTTCAACCATATGCTGTTTTCAGCTACACGATTAAAAGAAATACTGTGGACTCACTTTCGATTCCAGCCATTAATGGCAGTTATGTGACAGTAATCCCTGAGGACAGGAATGATTTACTCAACTTACTGCCTAGTTTCCAGGCTGCAGTGCAAAAAGAGGGTATTCGAACACAGCCTGGCAATTTCCCTGAATTGAGAAGACAGAGTTTGTAGAAGTTACGGTGACTAGAACCTCTTGGGGCAGAGTACTGGAGAGGAAATTGCTACAGAGAATGAAAACTACAGAGATCTGTAGAGGGTTTCCCTGGAGTCTTCAGCTGAGTTTTGATCAGCACATTTGCATGAGGTCAGGGAAAGACCCCCAAAAGGTATCATCAGGCTGAACAACACCCAGAGATTACACAGGGCCTGGAATAGTTTGGTTCCGACCAGCCAGAGTAGAAAGATTTCAAAACACAAAGAATATTAAGTAAAATCCTCAGCAGTGAGGCTATATTAACTGTTCTGGACCCAGTTAAAAAAGTTGAAAATCAAGCCTTGTACTGAAAAATTTTTTTCCCACAGAACTTTACTGCATTAGAGAACAAAGCCCCCAAATAACAAGAAGAACAAGAAATATATACAAAATAGAGTATTTGGAAAGAAAAACTATAATAATTGAGACACGACACTATTTATACACAATTTATCTCTTACTTCTGCTAATGATAGTAACCAAGAATGGATTAGCCAGCTGTTATCTCTACCATACTTGAAATGCTTATTTAGTGAACCAAGTCCTCATATTTTTAGTACTCTAATTTGTGTGATATAAAAAAAGGTAACTACTAGCAACATGTACAGTGTGACTAAGGAACTAAGTTTTAAATTTTATCTAATTTAATATAAATTTTAAAACTGATACTTGATTTGGTTATTAGAAAGCTTTTTAGTATATGCCTGGAGCAATGTGAGTATATGAATCTACTTTTTCAACTTAATCAAATCTATTGCAATCTACTTAATCAAACTGAAGTACAAATCAAATATTTCCAATGAAGTCCAAGTTGAGATGTTTTTTAAACAAGGTGACAAAACATCCAATTAGTTTGGGACTGATTTATTTGATCACTTTAAGCTGTAAATGTAACATACACACCAAATTTTGAAGACTTTAGTATGAAATAAAAATGTAAAATAACAATTTGTTATATTAATTACATATTTAAACAATAGTGTTATGGATATATTAAGTTAAAATACATTCTTAAAATTCACTCCACCTATTTGTTTGCTTTTTTAAATGTGGCTATTAGAAAACTTTAAATTACATATATGTCTTATATTATTTTTCTATTACACAGAGCTGTTCTAAGCCATCTTACATATGTACCTCTATTATAGCACTTAATGCCAATCTTCCTTATACTAACATTAGTTATGTTTCTATCAACCTCAGAAGACTATTGATTCCTAGAAGGTAATAAACATGTTTTATTTATGTCTGTACCTTCCATCTATAATTGTTGCCTTGTTAGGAAAAAATAATAATTAAGTTAAATGAACGGCAATAGGGTTACACATTCGAAGACTATTACTAATGAAATAAAGGATTATAGAGGGTGGGGCAAAAGTAGGTTTCCAGTTGATCATATGAAAAATAATAGATTAGTAAATGTTAATATAAAAATAAACTCTGCATTCCGCATACTCACAACTGTAAACCTACCTTTTTTCCATACGAACAACTGTACCTACTTTTGCCCCACCCTGTATATATGAACACACTATATTTAATGTATTTGTGTATTTATATACTATTTATTATATTTATGTAATAAATATTAAAAGGAAAGGCATATTCTCCCAGAAGGTCAATAGTTCTAAAAAACAAATTCCATTACAAAAAAAAAAAAAAAAGAATAACGAGATAAAAGACAAAACTGATAAAGATTCAAGAAATAAGAAAAGCCTACTAGTCAGTGATGAAGAGGGAGACCGCAAAAGCTGCTCTGCAGAAGAGGCTGGCAGAGAGCAGAGCTACTGACTGCAGAGATCAGGGATGGCCACAAGGGAGAGATGCACCAACTACAACAACGGAGAAGGACATGAATACGTAAATGAGTGACAGCTCTGATTGTGAAGTCTTTGATCTTCATTTCAGGTTTATAAGAAGAAATTACTGATTTTAGAGAAAAGGAGACAAAGGCTCAGAGTAACAACCTTCCGATGGTCACACAAAATCCTGCTTTTCTATTACATCACAGCTAAGGCACAACTAACGTCAATGTAACATAAGCCTATCTGTCTTAGGTGCTCTCAATGAGTAGAAGACTCAATTTCATAAAGTTTATAAGGTTTCTAAACATCTTCTTGGGGTTAAAGATTAAAGAGTAATTTAGGAAATTGGTATCAATCTTAAAAATAGAGAATGAAGAGACAAAATGTGAAAAAGATAAGTATGAAAATTTTAGGGGATTAATAAAATACTCTTTTTTAAAATCACATTATAAAACATCATTTCGACTGATATTTATTAAATACCTTTTATATCAAAGTACTCTGCTAAATACTCTAGGGTTGACCCTGATCACTAGGAACTTACTGATTACTATATAGGACAAACGTAGTGGCTCAAACTATGAGAGAAATATTGAACAATGCATTATGAGAATTGAAGAAACAGTATATTTAAACCTGAGAAAAGAGAGTTGGTCAAATTCCTTGGGGAATTTAAGAGTGGGTAACTTCATTGTATAACATTTTGTGGCAATCTTTTAAAGATAAGAATGAAAGAAGTTTATTTTGTTAATCCTCACTTGAGGATATATTTTTCCCATTGATTTTTAGAGAGTGGAACGGAGGGAGTGGGGAGGGAAAGGAGGGAGAAAAAGAGAGAGAGAAAGAAAAAGAGAAAGAGACAGAGAGGCATCAATTGGTTACCTCTCACATGCGCCCCAGCCCCAGGGCCAGGGAACAAGCCTGTAACCTAGGTATGTACCCTTGACCAAAAATCAAACCTGCAGACTGATGCTCTAACAACCGAGAAAAACCAGCCAGGGCAAAATAATTTTTTTTTAAAAAAAAGAATAGTCTAGAGAGAGGGGCAGGGAGAGAGATAAATATTGATGCGAGAGCACACCATCCACTGGCTGCCTCCTGTATGCCCTCTACCAGGGATAGAATCTGCAACCCCAGCATGTGCCCTTGACTGGGAATAGAACAGGTAACCTCCTGGTGCATGAAAGGACACCCAACCAACTGAGCCACACCAGCCAGGACAAGAATGAAATAATTTTTGAAATGAGGTTTCCACCCTCCCACCCCCCAAATAGAGACCTATCCCATCCCAAATTGATAAAGATGCTGTCAAAACTTATAGTAATAACAGCCCAAGTAATTCCTCCAAACTATCATTTATGAATGTTTCCTAAAATAAATTTTAATGTGGTATCAATCTTGTTTTGAAAATATTCAGACCCGATTCAATAAAACCATTACACGAGAGTTGAAAAGCCTGTGGTAAACACTTGCACACCTAAGGTTATTTCTAGTTATATAAGATTTGAGGAACCTTATAAAAAATGTAAACTCCTACCTAAAGCATTCAGCAATGTCCGGGAATTAAACATGGTTTCTGCTAATTCTTGTTAAAAATATTAGTTCCTGAGCATCTTAATCAATTAAAGGAGTTTAAGGCATGACCACTTTAAGAATCATTATCATTTTAAAAAGGAGACATATACTGAGGCTTTGAAAAAAATTCACATTTCTTTTGTTCTTCCTTAAATTAAGATTTGATATAAATATGCAATATGGCCAAGGGAATATGCAGAAAAGATGCAAAGATGAAGGACATGTGATCTTTTGCCATGTAGGTGGTGACTCATTTTCTAGACTCTAATTTACCAGGTTAAAACAGATAGCATAGGCAGTATTTTAAAAGCATAGATTCTAGAGCCTGAATGCAGGGATTGTCTGAAAACTGGCTCTACCATAAATTAGCTGTTGGGCAAGGTAGTTATTATCTCTTAAGTCTCACTTTTCTCATATGTAAAATGTTAATAGCAGTATCTACTTCATGGGATTGTTATGAAGACTAGATTAAATTAAAAGTTATAAAGTGAAAAATATACATGTCAAGACTTATTGAATAAACAAATAAAGGCTTAAATTATTAGAGAATGTTTCATCTTTCAAAACAGGAAGGAAGTTTATCATATCACTTGTCTGTTATGGCACAGTACTTGCACACATAAACCAAAATATCCGGTAAGTAAAATCTCAATGAATTTTCATTTTAGAATCTAGAAAAAATTTCAGATGAATCTATATATATATAAAAGCCTAAGTGACCGGTTGACCAGTAGCTATGATGTACACTGACCACCAAATGGGGCAGATATTCAATGCACAGGCAGGGGAACATGGAACAGACTGATGAATTTCAGAGGGAAGGGGAGAGGGGGGAGGGCGGGAAGAGATTAACAACCAAAGATCTTATATACATACTAGAGGCCTGGTGCACAGATTTGTGCACTGGTGGGGTACCTCAGCCTGGCCTGCGGGGATCAGGCCGAAGCCGGCAGTTCAACATCTCCCGAGGGGTCCTGGATTGTGAGAAGGTGCAGGCCAGGCCAAGGGACCCCACCAGTGCATGAATCTGTGCACCGGGCCTCTAGTTTAGTATAAAGGAATCTTTATTTTTATCATTTAACATAACTGCTTGGTATCATAAAAACTAGATTAAATACAAAGTTAACATTAAAATTAAAGAAAAAAATGGTGAACAATTATTTCTGAATATTCATTTTATATTGTTTCCCAAAGAAGACACTTCCTAATGTCTAACTAAGCAATTATGCTAAACTCCATGAAAAGTAGTATTAACTCATTCTAGGCTACTGGAAAAACCTCCATGTAGAGACCAGGTAAAGAAGGAGCAGATTCTTAAGGAACCACAGTTAAATCTTTTTATATAAACATGTCTACGACATTTAAAATATAAGTTACACTTTTTAAAATTAACTAATACTAATTTTTAAAGTATCTATGTGTAACTTCTCAGAGATTAATTTATAATACAGTGATGGTTGGGTGGTATAGTCAGGTAAAATTTCACTGTCACTACAATAATTTCAAATTCAATAAAATCATGATCATATGTGGAGGAACTTTTCCTGCAGTGTTTTATTGAAAAGCATTTTTTAAAAGAAATTCTTTTACATTTTAGTTAACACGTTAAGCCCCATGTCAGTCACCGGTGACTGACACTATACTTTCTGTCTGGAAGACAAAACAGGCTGGGCGTTTAACATGTTAAGTTTTTACTTTTGCTTATGGGTTAATTCTTGAACCCACAAAAACTAGAAAATATACTTGTGGTTAAAATATAACAGCCTCTGCCCGGCTGGTGTGGTGCAGGTTTGACTTCTGGTCAGAGCACATGCCAGGGTTGCAGGCTCGATCCCTGGTGAGGCAGCAGATAGATGTTTCTCGCTCATTGATGTTTCTAACTCTCTAATCCTCTCCTTTCCTATCTCTCTAAAAATCAATAAAAATGTATTTTAAAAAACAACAAGAAAAAACATAACCTCAAGAGTAAAAGAAATTGGAGGAAAATAATACAAATTCAATACCAAGTTCAATCCAATTCTACAACACTATCAATATTAAAAGTGAGCCATTAGAGTTCAAGTAAATGTCTCATATTTTTAAAGAAGGCCGTATAGTATATGTTAGGTTAGAAAGTTGTCTTTGAAGTCAAACTGACCTAAGTATGACCCCCAGCCCCATTAGTTAGCTAAATTAAGTGATTGTAAGCAAAATGAATAATCTCTTAGTCTCAGTTTCTTCATCAGGGAAATGAGTACTTAAGAGCAGCTACCTTCCTCTGGCCATCAACCTATGAACCAGGAGATCATGGTTTGATTCCCTGTCAGGGCATATGCCTGGGTTGGGGGCTCGATCCCTAGTGTGGGGTGTGCAGGAGGTAGCCAATCAATGATTCTCTCTCATCAATGATATTTCTATCGCTCTCTCCCTCTTTCTTCCTCTCTGAAATTAATAAAAATATATATATTAAAAAAACAAGAGTAGATACCTTGTATATATAGTCTGAAGATTAGATAACTCCTTAAAAACATTCCCTGACAATTTTAAGTGCTAAAAAATAGTTAAAACAATGGAAAAGATACAAACATTTGGGAAGCAAGTAAGAATGGAACTGAAATTCCTTTTTCACAGTATTACCAAGAAACATTTTAATGACAAGCTATGTATTTTTTATATCACAATAGTTTATTTTTTATTTTTTAAAATCTTTGTTGTTGCAAGTATTACATACGTACCCTTTCCCCTCCTATTTACCTCTTCCAGTCCACCCCTGTCCCCCAACAAGCTTTATTTTAAACATGTTAAGAGTGTATGTTCTTAATGGTCCAATAACACACACACATACGTCCTGAAATTCAAGTTTAAATAAAGAACTGATCATTTATAAAAGAAAGTTTTATCATGTAACCCCCCCACCCCCAATACACACTCTATCTATATAAAGAGCCAAGGGCCATCGCAACTGAACGGACGACTGAACAGGCTGAGTGGGGCGACAAGGCCGACAGGGGGGTTAGTGAGGGATGACCAAACGACTGAACAGCAGGCTGTGTGGGGTGACCAGGCTGGCGGGGGGTTAGCGAGGGACGAACAAACGACTGAGCACAAGGCTGTGTGGGGCGACCAGACCGGCAGGGGCGTAAGGGAGTTAGTGAGGGACGACCAAACGATTGAGCACCAGGCTGCGTGGGGTGCCCAGGCCGGCAGGAGGGTAGTGAGGGGCGACCAAATGATTGAGCACCAGGCTGCGTGGGGCACCCAGGCCGACAGGGGTATAGTGAGGGATGACGAAACGACTGAGCACCATGCTGGCTGGGGGGGGCAGTGAGGGGTGACCAGGCTGGCAAGGGGGGCAATTGGGGGCGACCAGGCTGGCAGGCAGAGGCGGGTAGGGGTGAGCAGGCGGGCAGGGGGGCCAGTAGGGGCGATCAGGCAGGTGAGCAGTTAGGAGCCAGTGGTCCTGGATTGGAGAGGGTGCAGGCTGGGCTGAGGGGACCCGCCCCCTTCATGCACAAATTTCATGCACCAGGCCTCTAGTCAAAATATAAAACTAAATGAACTGTCATTTTTCAGTCCTAAAGTAGGCCATATACCCTTACCTTGCTCAACTGTTTTCTAAGCTAGGTCTCTTAGCATTTCTTTAGGATAAAACACAACTTATCCTCTCCTCCTAACCTCACTTTGCCTTGAGATTTCATAGTAAACTATCTTTTTTAAGAACTGGGTTTTTGTTTTTTTGTTTTTTACTTAACAGTGTTTAACACACACACACGCACACACACACACACACTCACTACATGTCAGTCAGCAAGATCACAATTTTCAAAGATGATATAAATGCTACTGAGTAAATGTGATATAAATGGAACAATCTTTTTTTTTTACTATTTTTTAATTCCTCCCCCCCACACACCATTTATCCCCTCTATGCCTTCTTCCACTTCCACTTACCCTCTGCCCCTGCCAGCACCACCCTCAATCTTTTCTTTTATATGCAATCCATTATGAATTTTAAAGCATATCTTTTCATTTACGAGTAGAAGAAAATACACACAAACCTTAAGTTATTTCTTTTTATATCCTCTGTAAACTAACGTGTTTTAAAAAGGATTATTTGATGACCTTAGAAATTAGACCATCACATAATTATTAGTAATAATCCATATTTGATGTTTTTATATTTTTAAATGTAGATTCTAATTTATTTCGAATAGTGGCTCAAGTCTCTGCCCAGAGACAAAGCATTCTAAGATCATTTAAATCACTGATTAATGTGTCTAATGAAGATATACTTCCATCATTTGAAGCTTACCTGTGCATCAATATCAATGGCAGGGTAGATAGGAAGCATGGCTGAAGGAGAGATGATGGGACTTGGAGTTGGAGTCTGAGGTTGGGAAATGGAAGCAGCGATACTGTGGGTAGGAGTGTTTGACATTGCAGATGCTCTTCCACTGACTGCTGTTGAACAAAATAACTGCACTTAATAAGGATAAAACATTGTTAGGTAACAGTAAGAAATAATTATTGGAAAATATTTATAGACTTCTTAAAAAACAGAATGTCTACAGGTAGACTGCCACAGCACTAGTAACTCATTATCCTGGTTATTTCTGACTTTGGACAACAGTCCAAAATTATAATGTATACTGAGAGTAACCCATTTTCTAATTAATCACTTGAAAAACAAATTCCTCTCTTATGGTATGTAATCATAAAACCTTAATTCAAAATAACCCTGAAAACAAAAATATTTTTATGAATCTAAATTAAATATAAATGCAATTGGATATGTTGTCCATTATACCTTCTTAGTCAGAAAAGGAATAAAAGATAAAATAGGCATGTTCAGAAGGAGAAGAATGTGATTTTTACCTGCCAATTCCACACCTTATATTCTATAACTAATATAAGTAATATCACTGTTTGGGAGAACCTTGCTATCCAATCATTTAAAAATGCCGCCTACTATTTAACTGCAGACAGGAGGATAATTATATTCTGAATTGCAGTCCTTACTATGACAGCATAGTCAAATATAAAAATTTGATCCTCACACAGAAATACAGTTTCTCACATGTAGAAGTATTCTGAGGGGATAAAATGTCTACCAATCAATCCAGCAATCACACTGACATATAAGGACGAAATTAAAAGATTAGGGTAGAAATAAATGTATGCACACAAACATCCTTCAGATACAGATTACTGTTAGTTCTTCTAAGTATAATTTCACATGATATTTTCACAAAAAGATGCAAATTGAGAGGGGCTAATTTAATTAGGTCAGTACTTGATGTGGTAGAACTCCAAAGGAGGTGGCAGTTAAGGGTACTTTATTCCCACATCAACTCACTTCTGGAGTCGATATGTGAACACCAATCCTTTTTTCCCCTATTAAAAATGCTGTAGCACTAAATTTTGGGCATTAATCTTTGAATGGTCAACAGTAGTGTAGATGTATGTTACCAACTTAGTTATCAACTACATCAGACAGAAAACAATCATGATACACAACTGGATCTGAAACCAGACAAAAGAGGTTATAATCCCACCAAGAACAAAACTAAAATCGATCTTATAACAATTATAAACATGATTGTCAATTAAGAAATCTATTTTACATAAAATCCTTAGTTCAGGCACAAACATATACTATACATTATAGTAACACACATTCTAAAATTACACATTTTTTAAGTCCACTTAAAAGCCAAATGAAAAACAAAAAAGGGAACGAAACAAAACAAACCAAATCAAAACACAAAACACTGTTTTGAAGCCTTACGGAATCAGATCAATAGAAAAGGGCTTATACTAATATATTTAATTGATCATCTAATGACCTTGATATTATTACTCCATATTGATAGCCTGTACATTCATTTTTTAAAAATCAAGATAATTTAAATGTATATATTTTATCTATAAATTTCAAAAATATAAAATGTATGACTATTTACATTTCAATTGGAATAAATTCCTTAAAGAACATACTTAAATTGGTTTTCTTATTTTTGGTCAAATTATTCTTATCATCTCATCTAAGAGGAGATAGGAAAAAAACAATCCCCCCATTTCATTTCCTTATTTAAAACTAAATAACTGTCACTCATCCATTCTCTATAGTTAAAGTAATAATTATAAATACGTAGGCATGTGAAGAAACTCTGGTACAGATCTTTACATGTGGGACTTCATATTTGGGGTTAGATTTTAGAGAGGGAGACCAGATGTTTAGAAAAGTTTTAATACCCGGTAAGAAAAGAAGGAACCTGAGAGCACAGCAAAGGTAAGGTACTAAGACTAGTTAAACAGAGAACTGATTTTGCTTTGGCAAGTAGATAGGGCAGGGAAGACAGAATTTGGCCAGCCAAGTACTAGAGAAAAAGATACTGAACCTTGTTAGAGCAGTCTAATAAATGGGACATAACGAAAAAAGAACAGAGTTTTATGCTGAATGAAGGACAACTGAGCATAATGAGGTTGTAAGATATTAAGAAACACAAAATGGTCATTAGTCAACTGAAAGAACAAGTACTACCACAAAACTTTAAAGAAAGATTGCAGAAATGAGTGCTGGAGTATATATGCATGTGCACATGCATGACGACGGATAGGTTTCACGTAGGTAGCTGGGCTTTTTTAAACCTGTTCTTCCTTCTGCCATTTCTTCTATCCCTATGCAAATAAGCATAAGAAAGAAGTATTTTCATAATATGACAAGTATTTGTCATATATCCTGAAAAGTTATGTGCTTAAAAAATTTTTTTATACTTAAAAACCTGGAACACACAGGCAGACTCTAATGTTTTTCTTTGGTAAAAAAATCAACAGAAAAACTACGTTACAAACCTCAAATAATTCTCATCAGCACAAACACCATACAACTAACTGACAAATCACTGTTGATAACTATGCCCAAGAACATCAGGTAAATTCTGGTAGCACATCAAAAAATATTAAATATTCTTTGGTATAGAATGTCCATTCTTCATTTAATTGGAAAAGTAACACTTAACTCTATACATTCATTGGTAGATCAACTGACATAATAGAACACCATTATGATCTAGATTAATGGCTATGGAAGTAATTGGGGCTACTGTTCTCCAATTTTCATAAGATACCAAATTCCTTTAAATTGTATTCCCAATTATTATAACCAGCTAATGGTGATTAGTAGCAATTTTCAAATCTATAGAAAAATTAAATTCTTAAGAGAATCTTTACAATTCTTAATGATTAATACCATTTTCCCCCAAGATAATTATTGTACCCTATTAAGATTAGCAGAGACTTTCATTCCGTATATTACTGTTGAGGTGATTTTAAAAGGGAACTGGGAAACTTTAGAGCAGATTTTAAGTATACAAAATCTGTCTCATTAGCTGGTTTCTTAGTTTCTGAATGTCTACACTATACAATTTAGGTTATTCTTTTAAAAGGTGAACATTAAATCACATATAATGTCACCATAATATGTAATGTTACTAAATATAATTTCAAAATCAGAAAAATTCAAGTCTTTTAAAGTACAGACAAAAGAATAAAAATAGGAGGAGAGAACTATTTAACTCTTCCCCCCCCCCTTTCCTTCTTCAATTTTCTCTTTTTCATTAGCTTTTTTTAATGAAGAAAATGATCTGTCTCAATATAACATTCTTATGGTTTATAATCCTGTGAAATGTCATTGCACTAGTTTGTTACAGAATTTATGAAAAAGTAGGTACCAAAAACGGAAACCATTAAAACAACCTTCTAAAATATTTCTTCTTGCCAACGAAACTAATTATAATGAAATAAAATTTCTCTGACTACACATTTTCTTTTTTTTTTTCCTTCTCTGATTACACATTTAAAGAGATATTTGTGATATTGTGAGGGGACCCGACCATACCTTCCCATAATACAATTAGAAAGAGACTACACATTAACATTCACAGGGGATAAAAATCACTGACATACAGTATAATCAAACCCTATTTGGTTTGGTACTTTATTATTGTTTTAAAGGTGCTTTAAATTTTTTAAAAAATATCCATCAGGTTTGAAGTCTGATCCATTAGGATATAAAGTATTTCTGTTTACAAATAAGCTTCCTGATATCCTACTAAGTTTTGCACTTCAACTTCTATCAATTTCCCAGTTTCTTGGTGTGAATACAGAAGCAAAAAATATAAAATTCAATTTTAGTATTCTGAACTTAAAGAGAAAAAACAAAAACGAAAACCAGAGATCAAACATCAACCCCACTACTGAAAAGCCTAGATTCCCAGCCTACTCAGCTAAGCCAGAACGTTTCAGTCACTTGCACTGAACGAGCTAATCTTTAATTTGACCTGTATCCATTTGAAAACTTCTGAGATTGAATTAATATTTCTAAAGATATACATGGGTCAAGAGTCCAAAAATAGTTCTCAAGTTGGGCAATGTCAAAAAATTGTGGCACACTCTTACTCGCCTTAAGCAAATCATATTTTGATACCTGCTCATAACAATATAAACCCACCTGCCATGATGTCATCCAGCGTGTCATTGAGGGTCTGAGCAGGGCTGGCTACCATTAACCCTTGCTGTGTTTCTGTCAGAATTCCTTGCCCCAGCCCTGCCAACTGTGCTTGGCCCAGTACTGGCTGTCCAACTATTACTCCTTGCAGTTCTGTAAGATTAGCGATGGACCCTGGAGGCAATGGACCTGCCGCCAGAGGCAAAGCTTGAGGCATGGCCAGAGGCTGGATTGGTGCAAAACCCATCTGAGCAGCAGTCTGCTGGGGATCATCTTGAAGCAAAACGGGATCCACTTGCTGTAATCGTGCATAGTCTCCTTCAGAAAGCTGTTCTCCAAGAGGAGCTAGTAGTCCCAGATGTTGGCAAGATTGTTGCTGCTGCTGCTGAAGTTGAATTCTTTGAGCTTTAACCTCTAGATACTGCTTTTTTAGCTGCTGCTGAGTTTTCAGTTGTAACTCTCGTTCTACTTTCTGTAGTTCCTCCAAAATCTTTTGTTTCTTCTGAATTTGTTCCTCCCTTGTTTTGTTCAGCTCCTCAATCTTCTCCTTGGTAAGTTGATCAGCATGAGCCAGTTCCAAGGACTGCAGCTGTGCATTCTTTTCTATGGCTTCTTTTATCCTCTGTTCCAGTTCTGTTAACTTTCCCTGAGCCTCTTCTACAATGCTCTCTGGAGACTGATTGGTGATGTAACCCTGTACATCCTGGCTGTTTGCTGGCAAATGGCTGCTGGACTTTTGTTTAGAAGCAGCTGTGTAAAAAAGAAACCCCCTCAGAAGTGCACATGAATGGCATCCTCATTACAGAGTTACTGTTGGGAGGTTTAGTGCCAACAGTTATGCACCAAGTTATCATAGCCATAGAAGGTGAAAATGCACTGTGTTAAGGAGTTAAAAACAAATTCACCTTCTTTATCATAAACATAAAATGTATGTATTTTATGTGCTAGAGTAATCTTTGGAAAATAAATTTCAGAATTTAAAAAATATCACATGGCTAAAATTAGACAACAGAGGAATGCAGGTTTGTGATATCTAAGAGATGTAATTAAAATAAAATATAAGGCTATGTGTAATCTGGTCATAATGATGTAAAAAATTATAAGAATAAAAAGATAATGCTAAACTATTAAGATGTAAGGAAAATTTAGACCTCTAAGTCAAGGTTTTTCCACATTTAATAGTTGTGCCTTACACACACACATACATACAAAGAGTACCCAAACCACTGAGAGGTGCCAGGAAATTAAAATCCAACTAAAATATGTCTTTGTTGGGGCCTATCATCTTCAAGACTGATAAAATCAAGACATAAATTCACATATTCCCACAGCTACCTGGCCAGCAGAGAATTGGGATTCAGTTTCTCTGAAAGAAAAGATGTTGGACTACACCATCCACTGTATCTTCTGATAGCCAGATGAAAAAACAGACCTGGCTACAGGTACAGCAATCAGTATTGGTAATAGTGATTGGAAAGAGCTGGTGAAAACACTTAGTGTTCTTGTTGGTAAAATAATATAGGTAACCAAAAACCAAAAATTAAAACCACATTGGTTCTTCAGGTAAAACTCTTTAAAAAGAAAAACTGATTAAAACTAGTAGCTGTAAGGTTTTGGGACATAACTTATGAACATGCATGGTGTAACAACCACAAGTCAAATATGGACCTCCAGAATTCTAGGGAAACAAACAAGCATATCTGAAGTAACTTTTAGTTATTGGTTGAGAAAAGATATTCCAGATATGAAATATATATTATACCAGTTATTATAAAATAAATTTTAATCTAATTTTTTAATTTCATGCTTCATATCACTACAGAAATTTAGTTTTACAAAAAAACATTAATCAACTAATACCCAGCCTAACATTTTGACATAAATAGAAATGACCAGTTATTACAGGAAATCATGGATAATCAGAATTGCATCAAAGATGAACATCTGAATTTCTCTTGCTAATACTTCTAGTTCTAGCACAAGTTAGTGCTATTAACTATCTTCTCTCCCAATAATATGCTTTTTTTCATTGGTAAAAATTTTTTAAATTATGCCAATAAAATGCAATTTTTGTGGAAAAATAATTTTAAATGGCTAGGCTTTTGTAATCTTATCATTTTTACCTCAACAACATGTTAGAGTCTTTAGAAGTATAACTGACCTTTATTCCTGATGGGAAGTGTAGTGGCAACATTGGCAGGTGGTTTATCAGGCTCCTGAGGGGGGACAACCATGGGCAGTGCTTGAACTGGTACACGAGGAGCCTAAGACAAAGGAAAGTAATTATGTTTCCGCTTTTCCTATACACTGCATTAAATAATATGCTTTAAATGAACTGTAAGTTACAAAGACTTATTCAAAATATTTTTTCTATTCTTTTTCAAAGTATTTTTAATATGGCATTATTCTCAGACAATAACATATTTACTTAAAATATGTTGATACCCAATTATTTTTCATGACATTTATGAACTTTAAATTCAAATGGTTATTCTGGCTGTAAGAGAGAAAAGTCCTATCAACCTATAATCTGCATATTATGCCAGATATTCATTAGCCACATCAAGTACATCTAAAAAGAGAACTACATATCACAACAAAAAATAATCTAGTTTAAACTGAAAATCTGAGCAATAGGGGAATAAAGAAAATATAATATAAAGTGCTTTCATTTTCAGTCTTACCCTATTTAAATCGTGGGATGGGGGGGTTAACTGAGTGACATCTGGTGGAGGGGCTGAAAGCAAGTTATTAGGATAGTCCAAAAGATAGCAAACAACACTTGTATGGCCACCTTTTGCTGCTTCTATCAACATAGTCGAGCCATCCTAAAAGAGTGGATATGGAAGGGAAAAGAAACATTTTTTGAAACAAGTTAATTTACAGAATTATTTAAGGAAAATAAAGCCAAAAGTCCCAGACACAATAAAATCATTGATTTAGTAAATGAATACACTAAGAATGCCATTATAAATGCAACTTGTAGATATTTTCTAGTACAAGAATAAAGAATCCACAGTGCTACCTGAAACATATGAGTTACATACTTTTAAACGATGAGTAGGATCTGCCCCATGAGCCAAAAGTAGTTCCACCACGGCCAGATGACCCCCTGCGCAAGCCAGGGACAATACAGTATGGTCATTATTAGCTGTAGTTCTATTCACATTCGCTCCTGAAACAGACAAGGCATGGAAAATCATATTATTAGAGTGTGGTTTTTTAAATTATGGTAAATTTCAAAAACATAAAGAGAACAGTATAATAAAGCCCCACATAGCCATTACCCAGCTTCAATGATTATAAATAAATGTCCAATCTCGTTTCACATATACATCAATTCTCCTCTGCCATCTTGAATATTCTAAAATAAATCCCAGACAAATGTGATATAATTTCATCTATAAACACTTCAATATGTGCCAGTAGAAGATAATAAAAGGACATAACACTAACGTAACCACTGTTTTTAAAAATTAAGATGTGTAATTTTATTTACATTTTGTTATTTAGTAGAGAAGTGGACGAAAAACCAAGGGCTAAGTTTGCAGAGAATGAACATGGCATAGAAAGTAATAATGAATAATAATGTCATCTTTTTCCAATGGGAATATCTGAGAATGAAAACAGGTATTCGTCTGGGATTTGGAGCATTGTGCTAAGCAATGTGGAAAATGGAAATAAAATAGCAGGAAAAAGCTGGTCAGATTCATTAAAATTAAGTAAAGGAGAGAGAGTATACTGAGTATGTAAATAATTCCATTTTTGAAAAAACTATGGTATAAACATCCATCACAAGTAAGTGTTCGAATAATTTAATCAGTAAGATATTTCTGATTTTTTTGTCTTAATGTATAAACAATTACAAACTGTACATTTCTTTAGTATTTTTGATAAACTGCCTTTTTAATTGTATAAAGTCTTTCTATATACAGCCTTTTTCTTTTACCAAGTTAATCAGTGGCATAAATATAAAAATCCAGATTTCAAGATATATTATTACATGAACAGAACAGACTTTAAGTTATCTAAACCCTTAAAGTTTTACATAGAGAAATTTTTCTTTATAAAAGTGTTTCTTGACAAAGGTGATACTCAGCATGATCATTCTTCATAGTTTGTACCTGTTCTATGTATTGCAGGATGTTTTTCAAATACCCACTCACAAAATCTCAGCATACCAACAAAATGTCCTTTATCCCTCAGTCTTTAAATACCTGAGTGCAGGGATAGACTCCTTTGATTAAAAAACAAAATAAACAAAAAAAATCCTACTATTTTTACACAAACCTACCTTTACTAATTAAGAACTGAACAGTACAAACATGACCGGCTCTTGCAGCTTTCATTAAAGGAGTTCTTCCACCTTCAGATTCATGCTCCTATTTAAAAAAAACATACATAATTGATATTTAATTGCTAGGGAACAATTATTCTTTCTCATGATAGACTAATTTTTGAATCTAAATATATTAAACATCATTCTTTGAAGGAAATTAAGGAATACATATTTCAATTTAGGAAATCTAAATTTATAAACATGTCCTATGGAAATAATTTAAGAACTAGAGATATATTCATGTGATTGTGATGTCCTAATTTAAATCCACCTGGGTAATTTTTCCTTCTTTCTCTACAAAAAGAATTGTGAAACCTGAACAGTGAATGGCACTCTAGCATAGCCCTCTAAAAATGATCAAAATTATTAGCATTAATCTCATCCACTCCAAGTGATTTTTGTTTCAAAAGTTTTTATCCTATCTGTATGAATTTCTGTAAATTCATACAGATGTAAGTACATCTCTCTCTTTGACTTTCCATTATCTCTATTTTACCTTATACAAAAGCAAAAGGCTAGGAAACTTAACTCTACAACCATTGATTATAAAATATTACTAGAGATTTCTAGATTTCAAAAGGATGGAGAATCTATTGCTTCCTTGTGATTGATGGGTAATTGAGAATGCTACAGGAAATGTTTTCAGACCTTAGAACAGTGATGGCGAACCTATGACACGCGTGTCAGAGGTGACATGCGAACTCATTTTTTTGGTTGATTTTTCTTTGTTAAATGGCATTTAAATATATAAAATAAATATCAAAAATATAAGTCTTTGTTTTACTATGGTTGCAAATATCAAAAAATTTCTGTATGTGACACGGCACCAGAGTTAAGTTAGGGTTATTCAAAATGCTGACACGCTGAGCTCAAAAGGTTCGCCATCACTACCTTAGAATATACAGGTTTGAGAAAAATACCTTTGATAAAGTATTTATTTTATTTTAAAATAAGATTTTATTGATTTCAGAGAAAGGAAGGGAGAGGGTAAGAAACATTAATAATGAGAATATAGCCCTGACCAGATTGGCTCAGTGGATAGAGCATCGGCCTGCGGACTCAAGGGTCCCAGGTTCGATTCCTGTCAAGGGCAAGTACCTTGGTTGCAGGCACATCCCCAGTAGGGAGTGTGCAGGAGGCAGCTGATCAATGTTTCTCTCTCATTGATGTTTCTAACTCTCTATCCCTCTCCCTTCCTCTCTGTAAAAAA